GTGTGTGTGTGTGTGTGTGTGTGTGTGTGTGTGTGTGTGTGTGTGTGTGTGTGTGTGTGTGTGTTTTCTGTACCCAGACTTGAACAGTAAAGGGAAAAGAAGTTTTGTCTCTAAATAGTATCTTGTTGCCTGGCAGCAAGCAAAATAAGAAAAAGCTAATTTATTCCTAACTTAACAAACTGGTTGATCTTCTTCTACAGACTTTACTACTACAAAAACTGAACAAAAATGTTTGATGTGTGCATTTCTCCTTTGCGGCTCTCAGTTCATGTGCAGAATTCTTAAACTGGCAGTCAGAACTGCAGCTTGTATGTGACTACATAAAGGTAAAGGGTGTAATAGCTGACACAATTATTTAATCGGTCGACCAACAGAAAATTAGCGCGTGGCAGTTTTTTAGATGTCTTTTTTTTTTTTTAGCTTGCAACAAACCACATCGCCACCTTCCACTCCCCCCAATGCTGCTGCCCCCAGAAAAGAGTATTTTTAAATAGAAGCTTGTGTTTTAGCCTATGACTTTCAAAACTTTCAAAAACCCGCAAATGGCAGTTAAAAAGCAACTTAAATGGAAAGAGCACAAATTATCTAAGTAGTTGGTTTACCCATCAGGTTTCATATGCAGTGACATAAAAGTACATACTGAAAGTGAAGCTTACCCTCAGAAATATTCACACACAAAATGCTGACTTTAAGTAACTGGATTACATTTAATTTTCCATCGGTACAGTGTAAAATTTTATGTTTAATGTAATCTGTTCAAATTCATTTTACTTAATTGGTATACATTGAATTTACACTTTGATTTTATACATTTTTGTTACTTTTATTCAAAATTGTTGCTCCAGTTTCATGAGAGCAAACTGGATGACTGTTACAGGTCATTTGTCACATGTTCATGAGAGTGTGTGGATTTAGAATTAACTGAAACATTATTTGTTGCTCTATTGTTTGTCAAACAACTCCAGAAATTACGCTAAGAGGGTTTTTCTCAAAAGACTCAAAGACCTTTTGCTACTTTAAGGTTAAGCCTCTATAAATATCCCACTGCTTCCTTTCCTCCGCAGATTGTTTGTGCTGCTTTTCTTGTCCATCCTTTCTTCCGTCCCCCCCTTTCATCCCTTTCTTTCATCTCCTGTGCGCCTTTCTTCCCTTCAGTACGTCTAGTTCAGTATTGGATAGAAAAGTCATCTTAAACAGTTTATCTTGTATTTTCCCCAAAGGTTTTTTGTCATATGCTATTGATGCTAATAAAACTAATGTCGAACTTTCTCATTAAGCCAGTTTTCATGCTAACCCTCTCCTCTGCAGAAGGAGGACGGGACGGTGAACAGAGATTTTAAGAAGACAAAGACGAGAGAACAAGTTACGGCGGCCTTCCACGACTTTGTAAAAGGAAACAAGGATATACTGGTGAGTGTGTTTGTCTGGTTTACTGAATGTGCGTCAGTGGCCTTGAATACTGTTTAATTACCACATGGGTAATACTCACACACTCACGCATCACTGCAGAGGGCATAACATTGACTTACATTCATTTCCTGGAATCTTACCAAAACCATAACCACAATGTAAACCTAACCTTAAACCAAGCAGTAAAACACATAACCAGCCCGAGCATTTTTTAATTCAAGACTAGAGGTTACATAGAAATGTGCGCACAATACCCACAACAGCTTACTAAACAATTAAAAGCAGGTATTAGACTGTACATCGCTCCATATTCTGCACTTCTTCCCACTTTGTTTCGATATGTAACTGAATCAGAATAGCTGAAGCGATATCGAAGTGTATTTTGTATTGCACTTTTTTTCATTTCTTTCCTAAATGTACTTCTGTATATTGTTTACATCATTGAAATAAACTGAACATACAAACACAGCTCAGATCTGCCAGATAAAAAATACTAACGGTTTGTTGCAACGTGCCATTAAAGCTTGTTTTTTTTTTTGTTGTTCTGTTTTTCAGAATATTTATCTGTCCCGGCTGCAGGAAATAAGAGCCACTCTGGAGATCTCCCCATTCTTCAAAACTCATGAGGTAAGGGCACACTAGTTAGTTTATTTGTATACATTTTTTCATATACAAATATGTGAGTTCTGAGTGCATATACATTTATTTATGGTGTTTTCTATTGCCTGCACCATGTATTTGTTTATTCTGTAAGGAATTTTATGATCAAAAAGCAAGAAATTCTGAAAAAAATGTACTAACATGTACTAACTAACATAATAAAGCTGTAAACAGGTTGGGTTTGTCACACTCAATTTGTGTAAATGTCCAAGTTCAGACATGTTCAGATGTCACGTAACTCATACTTTCAGATTGGCTAGTCCAGTCCTGTATTTGATTTTACGTTCAATCTTAGCTTGAATTGAATTATTAAGGAAACATGACTGCTCACTCTCTCACACACACACACCCAAATTCAAATATAAATACTAGCTGACATGAAGGACACTGATGTCACAAAACAGGAAGTGAGATTTCTAAAAGACGTAAACAAACACGTAGGGTGTTAATAAAAGAAGAAACTTGTTTACATTTATTTATTTCCTGTATTCTCATCTCATTCATCTCTGTGCCTCTCTGTGTGTTTGCCAGGTCATCGGCAGTTCCTTGTTGTTCGTTCATGACCGTAACGGACGGGCCAAAGTCTGGATGATTGACTTTGGGAAAACCACACCTCTCCCCGAGGGGAAGGAACTGACCCACCGAGCTTCCTGGGTGGAGGGGAACAGAGAAGACGGCTACCTTTTTGGACTCGATAGTTTGCTGGATATCATTTCATCCATGGTGAACTCATAAAGCTTGGGAGATTTCCTTTAATCAAGATGGGACACACAACCACTTCAACTCATTCGTCAGTCCTCGGGGGAACACTTCTGGGGACCTCCTCAAGAACTCTTTCACAGACACTTGTTCTCATGTTGGAAACACAATTATTAAAAAACCAAAACATGGCCGGATCCATACATAACCTTCAGAACGTCAAAAGTTTAGTCTTCTATTTTGTTGTCCTCGCCTTCTTAAGAGGTCTTAATAGTGCATTTGACAGAAAAAGCACAAGTGGAACTCATGACATTAACAACGTCTCAGTTCCTCATAAACCAGAAAACACGGTATCATTAATGTTCTCTGTTACACCTGAGGTTTTCTGCTAAACGTTACTATGTAAAAGATTGAATTTTATATTTACAAAGGCCCCTAAAACATTTTTTAACTAAATGAATTCTCAGTTTTTAAAGAATTGTGGATCTATCTATCAATTTAATTTTTTTAGAGGTGATTTTCCATATCTCTGTGCTCTGAACGAATTCCCCTTAAAGGGCGGCATTAGTTACGTGCTACTTTCTCTTCCAGTACTTCCAGACTGGACAAGAGCACAGAGAAAATTCTTGTGCCCTAAATCTTTCTGGCTTTGTTCCTTTAAATTGTGGTTATTGCTACAAGAATTTATATAAATATATGATAAAGAGGGTTATCCTTTTGTGTGAGGAATGTGAGGAATTTAAAAATGTCTGACATTGACGCCCCCTGGTGAAGGTTTTAATTTTTTTCCCAGTTGTTTGAGAGATGCTGTAATCACATAATAACTGTAGTGGCTTTAAAAATGTCCACATTTCACCTTTAAAGCCTTGATTTGGCTGTAGTTTAAGATAAATTGCTTTTCGTCTTAACACAGTTAAGGTCACTCTCACAGGATTTTCTTTTTACACGTTTGACCACAACTTCATCACATTGCCATTCCTTTGAAAATATTCCCTTCATTACACTTTCAAGTAGTAGGAATTACATAGTTAAGAGTGCTTTTACTCATCAGATCACAGTTTTAAGATGTGTGGAAAGAATAGTAGTACTTTTAGCTGCTTCACTCTTCAGAATAACCCGTTACACACGAAGCCTTAGAGAGGATTTAGATCATGTAGGCTGCTCGCATAAGTTTCAGTGGCAGCCTTGCCAGTTATTGCCGGATTATCCACAATAATCCGGCAATAACAGGCAATCAGGTGGAGCTAAACAATTCATCTCACAGCAGAAAGTAATGCGATGGAGGATATTGTTTCATATGTAACATAACTTTAGTTCATTTGACTTCAGTGGCCAAACACTTATCAGCCTTCTCACTCTGTACAGTAAGATTTATTTTGTTTGATGTAGTTTTAACTTTTTTCCATTTTTTTGTAATTGTAACATTATTTTAGTTGACTCCTGTTGAACACTTAACAGCCATGAACAATCTTATTTAAGCTATATAGTGCCTTAATATTACAAATCCAAATCAGACGAGTGAAAATCTGTTCTTTTTAAGCGTTGTTTTGCTCTTAGTCTTAAATGTGGGCTTCTGTGCTTTAGCCTCTCACGAGTGCATGTTTATTATCCCTTTGAAAGGTTTGTTCTTAAGTTGTAGCTTGTTCTGTTTCTATTTAAATCTTTGTTTTAAATCACTGGATACCATGACATTTTGAAATTTATGACTGTTTTTGGGTTTTGTCCTCAAGCTTGTGTTGCATTATGAGTAAAACTCAAACTGTAGGGCAGACTGCTGACATTTTTGACAACCTATATTTGAACTTGAAAAAGGTTTATAGTATCTGACTAAGTGAGCCATGTCCTCCTGAGGGGGAATACCGTCATACCAGATGAGGACGAAAGAGAAAAAATGTCTTATAATGTAACACATTCATGATGAAAAGTAATACTTAAACAGTTTGTGGGTTTTTACTGTACCATGAATTTAAAATGCCATGGTTTTCGGTTAAAGTTTGCAGTGAAAGTAGATGAGGAAAGAGACTACAATCCTAATGCAGTGCCTTCTTAAAGAAATAGTTGGGCATGTGGGAAATGTTGTTATGTAGTTGAGGACGAGATGGACACCACTCTCTGTTTGTGTGCTAAATGTGAAACTTTCTACCAGCAGTTGGCTAGTGTAGCTTAGCAAAAAAACTGGAAATAGGGGAAAATGTTCCTTGGTTAAACAATCAAGATTAAGATAAAACTTGTGTGTTTGTCAGTTTTAGATGTTGCCGTTTTTGCACAGGGATGAGACGAGCTGTTCTTTTTCCTTTTGCTAAGCTAAGCTAACTAGCTGCCAAAAGGGCCAGCAACTATTCCTTTAAGACCATCTAAACTATTGCTTTTGCTCCCCTTTGTGCACCTACAGTCATTTGTAAGTAGGCATCCTATTGTTCTGGCTTTGCCGGCTTCTGTATTTATTTGGGTTGTTCCTTTGAAAAATGAATTTTTTGGTGAAAGAACAATGTGTTCATGTGTGATTTCTATTAATCTTTGTAAGCCTATCTATCTATCTATCTATCTATCTATCTATCTATCTATCTATCTATCTATCTATCTATCTATCTATCTATCTATCTATCTATCTATCTATCTATCGTGACTGATTGGGGTGAGGGGAGGGAGACAGGTCAAAAGACACTCTCTCTATCTGCCTATCTATGGCATGGGTTGGTATGTAAGCTGACAGCTCAAGGATAGTTTGTCCTGTGGCCCAGACCTCAGGAAGCCAACAGCGACCTCAAGCTGCAGCTTCTCTTTGACCACATTAATTGTTGTGTTTGCATGAGGGTAATTTGCCATTCAAATCACACCTGTCCACAACAGCAGCCACGTCTGGAGTTGGTGGGAAAGAAAGGCAATGATTCATGGGACCTTCTGAACAGAGATGTTGATGAGGTTGATGTGGGGGTTCCCCCCCCCC